TTTCTATTCTTTCATTTGCATGATGTTAGTGAGAACTTACACAACAAAGTAAGTAAAAATGTAAGACCAGGCCCTCATCGCATCAATGTTACCAAATACCACTGTGAATGCTACACTGATATTCTAAACAGTTGGATTTGCCAACATAATCTAATAACAATGTCATAGTTACATCAGTTAAATGCATAGTATTTATGTTTGATATTAATGCAGAAAAGTCTAAATGTACTCTGGTTATTCTGCAGTTACAGAGCAGTATTATTGCAGTCTTACCAGACTTAGCAAGAAACGCAATGTTGGCATTACATATGTGTTTGTATCACGGCGATATCCCTAATATTGTTATGTTGGGCCACATGAGGGACAGCTCCACCTATCTGGTGTTCTAACCTTGTGTTTGTGAAGGGCAGCCAATCAGAAGGCGGATTATGTTGAACTGGCAACCAATGCAAAGGCCACTCTAGGTGAGTCCAAGAATAAAAAAAGTGGTGGAAATGAGCGTTACAGGTCGTCTTTAACTGAAAGAAAGCATCAGTTGTGTTTCATGTTAATATTGTTTACAGTGCAGTTCTGTCATTGTGTGCCACAGAGTAGAGCTGCGCTGTGATCTTTTTTTTTATCGACGTCCTAGCTCTCTCTTCTCTCTGCGCATCAGCAGCACACTACTGTACAAACAGGGACTTTCTCTGTGTTGTGTAGTGTGTTGCCATGGCTACCAAAAGGAGATTCCTGACCTAGTACTCTCCTCAGCACCGCTATTCATTGGCCTCTTTCTCTAACTCAGATGTCACAGCTTTCATAAAGGTTTTGTATCAAAGTTTTCTTTATTTCTTTGTGTTTCTGTCTGGATCGTGCAATGCATAACGTCAATGCACCATTAGATTCATTAATAGATACTTTTCTTTCCCTCTGAGTTGCAGCAGGCATGCTGGGCTCATGGGACTCTCTCTTCATTACAGTCTCATCCCTAAACACACAGCTCGCTGACGCAAAGCTTGCTCCGGTGTAGGCGAGAGTGTTTTTATATGCCTGTGTACCATCATGACCGGTTTTCAGGCGGCTGCGTTGCTGTGTGCTCTCGTGCTTTTTTGCCTGCCGTGTGAGGTTGTGTGAGTGGGTGCTGGTGAAGAGACACTGCGGCTTCCCCCTATTTTTATAGAGTTATCCTGCTGCTAACACCCTTTTTATGTGCCCTCATCTCAGCATGTTATCCATCACCATCAGAGCCTCTGCACCATGACGTCAGCTTGTCTTCAGATTGCATTATTGTCCTCTGCTTTAGTGCTCTTGGTTTGCTCGTGATCACCTAACGCGAGGGACTTTCTGTGGGTGTGGTTTGATGACAGAGCATGTTGCCGTGGCTCAGCGGAGGTAGTTTAGCGGGTTAACGACTCATCTGCAGGAGCAGACAGATGCTGTCGGCCCAGGGGTTTAATGAAGACTGCAGTTTCTCCTCTGAGTGTGCGTTGACCTGCAGTGTTCCTGCAGCACCATCTTCACCTTCCCCACAGTCTGCCAGGGAGCAAGGACACTGCTTTAACGGCATTCTGGGCCAAATTGATTGCTTTTAGATAAATGGATCCAAATCTGATTTAGAGTTTGTCAAAAAGCCAGAAATGACAAGTAAAAAGGAGCGTGAAGAATGACTTCTGATCAAAACGGGTTTTGGCCACGGCTGCTGATGCAGGATAAGATTCGCTGGTAATTTATGACTTTAATTTTCCCAGTATCCCAGATGATAAATTCAAAAAATCCATATGAGATTATCCTCAGTTGCATCTGTAAATCCACGGCATTGATTACAGAGTGTAGCTAGAACTAGCTGAGTTGTAGTCTCATTAGCTGATCAGATAAAAAATTAAAAAAAACTGGAGCTGGCATTTCTGTGTCCTGCGATGTTTATCCAATTTAATAATCTTTTAATTTCTATTCCATGATAATGCAGAGCTGTGTGATATTTGGAAATGTTTGCTTTAATATAAAGCCCCTCAATTTTTCATTTCTGTTGATTAGAAATGGCACATTAAAGAAGAAAAGTTGTGAAAATATCCAATCAAACTCTGAAAATTATGGATAAAAAGTAGTATTGGGAGTTAGTATTGTAAAGAAATTAATCGAGTTTCATTCATTTATGTTTCCTTAATGACTGACTTCAAAGATTCTTTCTAGAGGCATCACAAGCAAGGCAGCAATTGCATTATTAGGAACGCGGTGAACAGCAACTATAAAATACCACATCGCGCATCTAAATTTAGACAATTAGCATAAGAGATTATAATCTGTGAAGCACATTTACAGATATAAAATGTTTAACATAAAGGTGAAGAGTGGATTAATGGTAAATCAGAGCTGTAGTCATTTTAAATAACTATATTATAATTTTATAATTATTAATACTTTTGGAAATTATATTAATTCTTTGTTTTTCTACACTATATTTTACACTATGTATTTATAGTTTATTGTGGTTTTATATATGTTGATTTATGTTATGAATGTTGTAAAATGTGAATGTAAAAGCCCAACAAGGGACAAGGGTCGTGAATTAGCAACAGTTATAAACCCATCGTGCAGCACATTGGTTTCATGTGCCGTAGTGGAACTACATTAAACTGCATTTTAATTAA